TAGTGAAATCACTTACTTGTATAGGGGGTGCCTAGACAAGATTCAAACTCCTATCTGTATGCCCCCAGAAATGATACTGTTAAGTAACATACTATTCTGCTTCATTCGTACCTTTAATGATCACTTCTACAAGAGTTCCAGATTGTTTCTGGATGTTGTGAGGGAGAGAGAAGAAATGTTGGATGTAGTCCCTGTCTAAGTTAAATTTTAGTGTAAAGAAAAGACAAACACATATGAACACACTAATACAAGGTGAATTATTAACTGACCTTTAAAACTTGTGGTTTGAGCAGTATTTAATGAAGGCAATAGTAGTGTGGGAAGGCTTCCCAGGGAAAGTGATACTAAAACTGCCATTTGTAGAGCTCCTGCTCTGTGCCATGAACATTATCCCTAGGCCTTAACTCACAGGGAAGGCATTATTAATATCCTTTTCTTATTGACACAACTGAGGTCTGGACGTACCGTGGAACCTGCCCATGGTCACACAACTGATAAATGACAGAAGTGTGATTTACCATCCAAGTCTGTGTTTCAAAAAATTGTACCTTTGATCCTCTATGCACCAGGGCATGAGCCAGAAAAGATGAGATGATTGAAGAAGAGAGAGATGGATAGTTACTTTAATCCAGGGAGTCCCCCTTTTGCTTATTTTCAACCTCAATGCTTCCTGAGATTATAGTATGAATGTGGTAAGAGTTCACAGACTGTGTGTGAGCAGCATAGAAAATGACTCATACCCTTTCAGGCTCAGTATCCAGAGGTCACCGTGGCTCTGTATCTATTTCTACCCCCATAACCCACCATTCTAGAAAAAGATTGAAAGGTCAGTTTGGAGAAATTTACCAATGTATAAACATTATCTGAGACTTTCCGGTGTGTATGTGCACCTTGGGCTTGCTGAGCTGGAGGAAAGCAGTGGTACAAAGAGGAAATCCACACAGGCCCTGCTCAAGGACAAACACACACACAGATCTACAACTACTACAAATAAACATAAATGCACAGATACATATGGTCACATATTCATATATAGCTATACATATGCATAACATATCCTTAAGCATAAACATGAGTACACTGACACACAACACACAAAGTATACACACAGAAACATGTAAGCACGTGGGACACAGACACACAAAATATGCATTCAAACACACAAATACACAGAGCTTGCACATAGACATGAGAAGAACAAACAATGAAACACAGATGCATACACTCAAGCAGGACATAGGTAGATAACCATGCATATAAGCTTATCAACACTTATATAAAAACATAGATATAACAGACATATACAGAGAAAAATGCATATAAACATCAACCCAAAGATACGTAGAAAGAAAATCATGAGGATTTCGAAGAAAACTAACAATAAAAGGCCTCACATATTAAGGGACAAAGGAATGGCAGAAACTCATTCGTGCAATGGGAGTTCAGAGGTGGTAGCAATCCCTATGGACTTCAGTGGTTTAGGAAGTCTTTCTAGAGGAGCTGGCGTGTGGGCTGGGATGTGAGATTTGTTTATCATTGAATAGGCAAAGAGGATGGGGAAAAAATTCCAGGTAAGTGGTAGAGAGAGAGCTAAAGTCCAGAGGCGATCAAAGGCAAGAATGATTCTGATGAACAGGGAGAGTCAGTTGGACTTCAGCTATTGGTGCATATTTACAAAGGCAGAAGAAGAAAAAGCTCAGCCAGATTATGGAGGGTTTTGAAAATAAGGCCAAGATGCAAAGACTTGATCTTAAAGACTTCTATGGGAGCCACAGAAGGTTCTATAGTGAAACAGGGGGCTGATGCTGCTGAAAGCAGTTTCTTAGAACCAAATCTGTTTGTAGAATATCAATGAAATAGGATGAGAAAATTGGAAGCAGAAAAATGAGAGACTAATTTGGCTATCAGTTGTATAATGCAATGGAAAGATCATGGGAATGGGCATTAGGAGAACTAGGTTCATTCGCCTCTCTAGGTCACAGTGTTCCCGTCTATACTCTAAAGGTATTATACTTACCCACGGATTTTCAAGCTATGTTCTGCGGATTCCTAGGAGTCCTGTAGCAGGGAAGAGGAAGGGAAAAGGGAGAAATTTAGGTGAATGGATTTCAACCAATGGTGTACTAGAGCCAACTTAAATTCTAAGAGCTGATTATGTGAATTTATTCCTAACTCTGTGTTTAGTGACATTGTGTTGGTAGCACATAATAGGTATGGAATAAATGCATATTATGCACTTTTGATGTTTTTGACACTGTTCTAGGTCCTGGGGATATAGTAGTAAAGAAACAGACATGAAACAAATTTTAATGGAAAGAAATAATTTTAAAAACAACCGAAAAATATAAAAAGGGTCATCAATAATCATATAATTATATATTAGGTGGTTCTGCCACGATGTTTCAGTAACATAAACCCTGAATGTTGCTCTCACTGCCAACATTGTCTATATATTGTTTATTAATAATACATTGGGGAATCTGAAGACAAGAAATACTCATATGTGTATGCACAGGACTTGGGACAATAGAGGTGAGGGAATGAATTCGAGCTACATTCTCATCTATAAAAAGAATAACAATAGCAATATGAGCATGTTATTCAGAGATATGAAGTCAATGCCTGGCCAAAAAAAAGCAGATAACAGAGTTGAAAATGATTGTCTTTGAAAAGGTGAAAGTTTTTTTTTTTAAATTTATTTTATTGCATTTTAGGTTTTGGGGTACATGTGAAGAACATGCAAGATTGTTGCATAGGTACACATGTGGCAGAGTGATTTGCTGCCTTCCTCCCCATCACCTATATCTGGCATTTCTCCCCATGCTATCTCTCCACAACTCCCCACCCTCCACTGACCCTCCCCTATTTCCCCCGAACAGACCCAAGTGTGTAGTGTTCCCCTCCC